GCAAGGGAAGTGAAAAGGGGAAGATGGGGAAAGCTTGGGAGAATGGGAGGGTCGGGATGGAGGAAGGGTGGATATGGGAGCAGGGAAGTATATATCTTAATTAAGGGAGCCATTTTAGGGTTGGCAAGAGACTTGACTCTAGAGGGGTTCTTAGGTGTCCATGCAACTCATGTTTTATAACACTATACGTTCTTACTTTGAGATTTTTAAGTTGGTCATCTGAAACAGTTTCCTGGGGAAAAGTTCTGTTCATCTTTCTGTTAATTTTGTATGTATGTATGGAAATATGTGAACCTGTAATATGTGGCCACATGTTTGTTTGGATGTTCACTTTGCGTGTTCCATGTGTTTAGTCTCTGAGCTTTGCTGAATCTGATATAATAAAATCTGTAAAACTAGTGACTCCACGTTAGAACTGCTCTGGAAAAGAACAAATATGTGGCCACCCTCCATCTTGGTTGAGATCAAAACAAAAACCTCATTGTCATCTTTACGAAGGGTGACCATGTGAATAGTTGCAATTTTGGTTTAAGCCACATGACTCCGTTGTTACCTTTAGTAAAGGTAATAGCATGCATTGGCCCCACCAAGGGGACATTCTGTCTCCAATATACTTTGGGTTTGGATATGTTTCTATATGATAATTCCTGCCCTGTCCTAAAGACAAGGTTTATCAATGATAAGGTTCAAAACAATGCTGCCTTACTGAGATATTAAAGCTGCACCTCTGCATTTATATATAGGAATGAGTCTATTGGCAGCCAGATTTTGTAACCTAAAAGTAAACCCCTTGATATTTTGATGGAGGTGGGTCTTGTATCTTATCTGTTGATTTCATTGGTTAATAATAAAGAAACTGCCTTCTGCCCAGGTGGAGGCGGGGAGCGCTGAGCCATCAGCACGGTCTCAGAGCACTCTCCTCTGATCCCAAGCGGAACACAAACATCCAGTCCCATAAAAGCCTTGAAATGCTTTAAAGCCAGAGTTCACCCTGGCAGTACAGCCCTATGAAGCCGTGCTTTAAAATGACGCAGCTTTTTTTCTGCTGCTGTTGCTGAATCAGGAAATCTCTTTATGGCACGCCACCAACAGAGAGCAAAACTCTGTGTTAAACT